ACTCTACGGACGCAGCTATCTCACTCCATTGCATTCCTGTTCCCTCCTGAACGGACATTCTGTGTACCTTTGCACCGTCTATACATCCGGGTTTCGGATACGCTACAGTTCAAGATTTATGGAGTAAGATAAGGCGTGGACGGTAGGTCTAGATCCACAACAACCCGGACATTAAATTCATGGTCGTTGGCAGCTGCCAACGGATTGAATGCGGATACCATCCCACGACGCAGTCTCTATCCATTGAACCCGAAGGTTCAATTTAATGCTCCAGTTTGGATGGCGAATATCCCCGGTGTCCGTCATAGCGGTGGCGCTGAGAAAGCAGGCATTAAACCGCTCAAACCGTCCAAGCACCATCGACTGCAGATCTGAGGGTGCTGTCTGACCCTCGAATACATTTTACGTGACTCTCCCCGGTTCCCGACCCCCGTGTTGTGCCTTATGCGTTGGCAAGACGAGGGGGACCGTGTTGGGGTCAGATGAGATGAAGTACACCGTTTCACCTGTAGGGTCGGGGTTCGCCCCGCGCCCCATGTACGTACAGTGATAGCAGGTCGAATGCCACACGTGATGCTTACCCTTGAACGTTGTGCCTCAAGGTGCGGCCCAAAGCTCGTATTGGCTATATGCGACTGTATATGGATGCGTGCATAGGGGGCGGATTTTACAATGTGCACCGTACCCGCGCACATACCCCGGTTGGTCACTCTCGAGGATCAGCGGCGTGATATAATTCAAAGGGCGTGATAGGAGAAGAAGGATGCGAGCGAACCGTGGCTTGCTGTATCCTTGTATATATATCCTGGGAACGCGCGGCGTCGGAACAGTATACAGAATCACTTCGCGAACTCTCTCTCTCTCGCTTCTGCACGACAGATTTGGGGTCGTTAACCTGCGCCCCTTCATCCTGAATTTCACAATTCGAGATTTCTTCTCAAAGTTGTAAGCGCACTCACTTTGCGGGACAGGGAAGATCCTCCTTTTTACGCAATTGTTTTTTTTCACATATCGGACAGCTCACACCTCTCGCGTGTGCGAGGGTGGTCGTTGTGGTCACTTGATGTCCATTGGCAATTGGCGGTACGAAATCGCTCCTCAGACTCTCTCAGGATCGGTCGTAAGGAGCTAGTTTTCCCAGGGTTTCCCTCGCTTTGTTCATCGTCCGTTTGAACCAGCATCTGCGGTCAGTTGGGAATAGGCTGTTGGGAACCCTATTTCCCCACGGGCAACAGGGCGACGGATAAGCACAACTCTCAGGGCCATACTGCATCAATCCAGCTGCTGCACTTTACGTCCTTGGAGACAGCTGTCGAGCCGTTCGAGTCGGTCAAGCGTTCGATTTTTTTATCGCCCTCCCGTAAGTGCGCCACAACCTATTCAAATTCAGGCTCGCGAGCGCTAACGTAACCCTTTGTGATTGAAAGCGGACGCCCCGCACCGAGCTTACCGGGCGTGTGCTTGTTTGACTTAAGGTAAGTGACCGAGGGGAGGGGTACATTCACTCGCCTGACCCCGGGCCCGCGTCACCCACTCGAGCTGTGGTCAGCTGGGGAGGGGGGATTGTGAATGGATGCACGCGCCCTCCTGTCCTTTTTGATATCACAACGAGGCGTCGAGTACACATAACATCCCAAATCCATCCCGCTAGTCCACTGTATTCCCCCCACCACGTATCACGACCCTGACATGGGCACTTGTGACCCTATTTACGAGAGTGTTCCCCCTCCTAACGCGCCGGGCCCTTCCCCCACAATCCCTCCTTCCCTCATGTCGTGATTATGAGCGCCCTTTACGATGCAGATTCTCAAACTGAAGTCGACCGGACTCTTTTCCCCCACACCACGTTATGGTGTGTAACGTGGCAACGAGACCCGGTTCCGTCATATTTGTTTCCCTCGACGTGGAGCCACGGTCGCGTTCTTCCCAGAGCTAGTACCCGCTAGTTTCCAAAGGGGTTTGTATACCCGTTGACGTTCTTTTGGTTGTTTTGGGGGGTTGGAGCGGGTTATGTATGTCCCTCCACGCTCGCCCTCCCATTGGCTGACTGATTTGAGCCACAGTCTTCAATTCATTCCAAGAATTCCCGCGGATTAGTCGGGGCTATGCGGGGGGGAATCTCTCTTCCCCCCACGGTAACAACCTTTGGGTTGAAACCGGAGTCATTGAGTGTTATGATTGCCTCAGACATCTCAACGCTCGAATCGTGGAGAACCAACCCCACAGCCTGCTCAACTTGAAACCGACTGGAACGCCCCGGGTTGGATTACGATTACGGATTCATGCGGACGCTCGTGTGTTCCCCCGAGGTCTCGGGGAGTCGTGCCAGTGTCGCGTGGGACTGGGGTGGCGCGCCCAATGCACGTTTCCCACCCACCTAAATCCATGAGGTTCCCTAGTCAACGCATCAGGGTACGGCATAGCATGTGTGCAGAAACCTGTCAATGAAAGCGGTAAGTGATACACGCCAAATCACTTGGTCTGAAACACAAACGGAGCATCAGAGCTCACAGAGTCCTAAAACCAGATACCATGCGGAAAGGTCTGTCAAGGCTGTTCAAACACGGTTGGAGTTTTTGTGCTGATCCATTGTGTGCCCAAAGCCGATTCTCCAGTGCCGAATGTTGACCGTAGTCTGCGCAAACCAGACGACACGGAAGGATCATGGTTTTTAGCCTTCCTTTTTTTTTTTTGCGCTAAAGAGGTTCGACATGTCCCTTCCGACATGTGAAAAATTCTCTATTCGGATCTCGAGAATAAACGGCATCGAGTGACAAACGGGCACCGCCTCGCGTGCTCCACGACGAGGGAATTTTTTTTGCTTGAGACTCACCTCCTTGAAGAGAGTCCTAATGTCAAATTTGAACGTCTTTTAGCATGGTTCAGTTTGCGCTCAAGGTTTTGGGGCGCCTCGCGGCCGCGGCTTTCCCCACGGTCCACTGAAAACTTCTCACATCGTGACCGGCACGCTTTGGAGAGCTAAGTACCGTCGTTCCCCCATGTTCGCAGGACTGAATTGAAGGTCAGGGTCAGGGTTCGGATTCTTGCCCACACCCCCCCACGGAGACATTTTAGGCTTTCGTCGATTTTTTCGCGTCCAATCCACAAACACAAATCTAAAACCAGGTCTGAGGTGGGGGATGGTGCGCGTGACCGCTTTCACGAATGATCCTCTCTGACCGATGTGTAAATAAGGTGTTTGTGACGCTGGTTTGCACCCGAACCGCCGAATTTGTCGGTAATCGTTGGTCACCGGTCGACCAGTAAAAACGGGGGAGCGATGCGTCTCGACCCAATTAAAACTTGCTAGATTGCGCCTTTGACCATCTCAACGTTCAATGTCAGTGTGGCTAGCCCGAACCCACGAGACCAGACACATCCCTCCACTCTGAAGCCCCCTTTACCGGTCCTCTCGCTCCGTACACCCGCACTTGAAAACCGGGGCGGTCACGTTTGAATTGGCAGCGGGGTTTCCAACCTTGGCTTCCGGTTCTCCCAAAACCTTTTGATAAGATAGACTCGTTCATCAAAAGCGACCGCCACAAGACCTGGCCCAGCCGGCGTCCCAGCGCCGAGCGGCATGCACGTACCGGCGCTGGACATGTGACAGCTCCTTGCCATCCAGTTCTTCATCCTTCCTTCAATCTACCATCGCAAATCTCCGCCCGAGCCCGGCGTTTTCCTTATCTGGGGTTCGGAGTGCGGAACGGCTCCAGTATTCTCTCTCGTGGGTGGTGCTTGGTCAGTGAGCGTATGAAGTACGTTTTATTGCGTTTGTATTGAGCGGACGGGGGGACGAAACTCATCTTGGACTATCCTATAGGACTCATCGGAAACGTCGGGTCGGTAAGAATGTTCCTGGAAATACACGGTGTTAGTCTCCCTTGAGATCCCCGACGCACACAACGTCATTATGTGGCCCAGATACCCGATGGTTCCGCAGCTACTCGGCTGCTTTCCACCATCTGCTATCATGGTAGGGACCCTGGATCCAGTCCAACTTGGTTGCTCGGAGTTGAGGACAATTGCTTCCGAATTGACGCCAAGTTGAATGCGGCGCTTCAGACCGGATCGAACGAGTCCTTTATGGATTCCCCGTTGAAGTTCTGCGCTGTCTGTTTCTTGCTTGGACGCTCATTTAGACTCTTAGTGTGAGATCAGCGGTCTCAGACTTCCAGGCTCCACTGGGCCTTCACTTTGATGAAGGCGAACGTGCTCGGAGCCTCGTTCCCGATTGCTGGGAATGTTCCACGCTGCTCGGATTCCGGCTGATATCAGTACGAGGATGGTAATCCAGGTCCCTTCGGCCGCATCGATCCCCCCGTCGAGTTGCGAAAGCAGGTGGGACAGACGCCCTGACTATGCTCGTGTTTTGGTGTTGTCTGATGGGAGCGGGTGTTTTTCTTACACGAGAAATGGCTCTTGATATGACGCCCTGATGTTCGGTTTCATGCCAAGTCCAGGAGTGATACGTGAGGCACCCACCAGTGGTCGTAATCCACTCAGCGTCCATACGTTCAGGCGTGGTAAGCCAATCTTTGCTGAGGTTTTCCATGCGGTTTGATGGCTTGGGAGGTGATCACAGTTGGGCCGGTCGCTCAAACAACTCTTGTGCGCGCAGCTGTTGTCCTGATACCCTGATTCTCCCATCGGCCCTCTGATTAAACGGCACTCAACGCGGAGAAACGAAGTGCGATTGTATGCAACCTATGCCAATGCCAAGGACATCTCTCCGCACATATAACGCTGCTTCATTAATCGTAGACTGTGTATCATGCTTCGTATACTTCTGAGACTTCACTAATTAATGGTTATCATCAGTCTCTATTCCCCGCTTTCTCCCTCCACGAATTGAAGTCCTTGGCGTGATGATTTTACCAGGACGGCCTCAATGCTTGAAACGCACCAAAATCGTTCCCAAACTCCCTCGTCGATTTCGTCCAGGATCCCGAATCTAGCCTCTCCAAGCGTCCAACTTTCAGCAGGCAGTTCCGTTTCAAGGGCACGTGGTGTAGTTGGTTATCACGCTCGCTTAGCACTCCCGCCGAGGAACTTGCGAGAGGGGTCCGGTTCAATCCCGGACGTGTCCATTTTTTTCTCTCTCTCTCTTCATCCGTCCAGCGCCAATATATACCTTCACACTGATCTTGCTACTGGGTATAAATCATGGGTTTGTGTGGTCAAATTTTGTGCTGGGATTCGGAGAGGGGTATCCTGGTATAGCGGGCAACGGTCCCGAGACGGCATCCCCGATCAGCCGTCGTTCCACCGCCACCCACCATGCCTCCCGGCACCAAACACAATGATTTCGAGGCGCGGCTTTACAGAGCTAAACGGAACAGAGCTTGTGACTCGTGTCGTAAGAGAAAAGGCGAGTAGCATGACCACTTCATAAACAAATCACCCCAACTCACCCCCCGGAACGATGGGCTCCAGCTCGATGTAAGTCCCCTTTCCTTCCCGGCTTCCCAATTTCTCGGTTAGGAGACTCGTTTGGATGACGCCGACACGTTTCCCGCTGATTAGGTGATGGGTATGAGATGCTCGATAACGTCTGCACTACCTGTGCCATGTATGGGGTAGAGTGTACCTACTTCGAATCGTCCAAGGTATGACTGCCTTTGCCCTTCGCACCATATCATCTACATACCTCACAAATTACTTTAGAAACCCACGTCCCAAAGGTGGGCAATTCTCCGATCAATTCTCTACTTCACGGGTCCCCAATGACCTTTAGTTATGTCCGAGAGCTTGAAAATAAGCTGGCACAGGTGGAGAGACTCATCCGCGAGGTATGTTTTGGAACCTTTTGCTTGTGTCAATATGTCGGCCGAACTCTAAACAGGTATCCAATCCCGAGAGCCAAAGTTCAAAGTCCATCCTAGAGGCTCGGAAAGAAAAGAACAAACAGAGTGTAACTACCGGCCCCTCCATGGACCATGCTCGCCCTTCACCACCGTTTGCTCGTGTTCCTCAAGTCGGTGCCTTGCGTCCGCTTCCCGAAGCAGATGAACACGACGATGACGATTTTGTGGCTCTGTACGACCCCAAGAAAGGCTCCTTAGAGTCTCACAAGGAGGGTGTTACCCCAAAGTTCTTCGGAGAGAGCAGCGTCTTCACGTTCCCCCAGGCCCTGGGACAAAGTCCCTTGTCACCTCGTGTTCCTTCCAGACATAGGCTCGAGTTTTGGGCTGCTCCTACCGTAAGTTCCCTTTGTTGAGCGATCGGCCGGTCCGTAGAGCATTTTTTGACTTCCTTCGAGTGGCTGTTGCCTGCCTTGCGGGGACCTCGGATGAACCTTGTGTTCCCCGAACCAAGTTTAATGCGGCATCTTCTGGACATATACTTCGATATCCACAACATCGTCCTACCAATTCTACACAGACCAACATTCGAGCGGTCATTCTCGGATAAATTACACGAGCGAAACGAATCTTTCGGAGCCGTGGTCATCCTAATGTGTGCAATTGCCTGTCGCCATTCTGATGACCCTCGCATCAAGCATCCTATCGTCACTTCGACATCGAACACTGGTTGGAAGTTGTACAACCAAGTCGATAGGCTAGGGAGGCCACGGCTGGTGGGGCATCACCTATACGATGTCCAGATATACGCCGTATGTCGAGTACACTTTCCGAGGGATATACACTCATTGCGACGCTATTCAAGCTAGCTGCTTGCTTCCTTGACGGATACTCTCTTCCACAGACACCGTGGTTGATGGTCGGCATCGGCTTACGAGTAATGCAGGAGCTCGGAGTCCACAGGCGCAGGTTCACCGTAAAGAAGTCAGTGGAGAATGAGCTCTGGAAACGGTGTTTTTGGGTGCTAGTCATAATGGACCGCACGTTCAGCAACCTCCTTGGACGGTCGTGTGCGATTCAAGACGAAGAGTGCGCATCTATTTCATTTTCGATCGAGTAAAAACTCACCCGTCTGTTGGTCAAGTTTTGACTTGGACCTGCCGTTGAACTGTGATGATGAGTACCTCGAACATCCGGACCCAGAGAAGGCATTTAAACAGCCGGCCGACATGCCGTCCAAAATGGACTACTTCATCTCGATGATTCGATTGAATCAGATTGTTGGATTTTCTCAAAGGACTCTGGTGCGTGAACCCGATCCGGACGTGGCGCTGTCGATGCTAAATTTGAATGCATGGCTGTAGTATTCAACAAGAAAGTCGAGATCGGTCCTAGGCTACGTAGGCAATCGGTGGGAAAGCCGCATTATTTCTTCCCTGGAGGGCGCGTTGAAGAAGTGGTTCGACTCTGTTCCACCGCACCGTACGATGCTTCGAACTATGCTGACAGTTTGACTAATTTGTGCCGCCCAATAGTTCGCTGGGACGTTCAAAAGAATCAAACCAACATGACCTGGCTCCGCCAAGCACTATCACTTGCTGGCAATTATTACGAACTTCAGATCATCATACACCGCCCATTCATCGCTCGGCCTGACCCCACCCTGTCAGAGCCTGCATGGGTTGCGTGCAACAAGGCGGCCAAGAACTGCGTGGTCGCTTTTGGAAGCGTCAAGGACAAGTTGAATGGGCGGATTCGGTTCCACCCGTACGCGAAACCGATGTTTGTGGCCGCAATCTTTTTGTTGCTCCAGTTCCACGGGAGAGGCATCGACCAAGGGTCAGAACTATACAAGGCGATCATGACGGTCAAAGAGATGGTTGAGGAGGTTGGGTCAAAGTAAGGATTTCGTCACTCGGGCTTTGCGTTCTGTCGATCTCATACGCTGATGTCCGCTTTCGTTGTGCCCCGTCCATTGATGGATCAGTTGGACGACAGGGAAGCGACTAATCGGTGTCCTGAACGCGGCCCTCATCCTTTGTGACAGCCAATACACGGGGTGGAAGCCTGGGAAGGAGGACTTGATCGACCTCGAATTGCGCATGCTCTGTTTCGTTGACGAGTACGGGAGGCTTTCGTTTGGGGATGAGGGTGAAACTGTGACCGACTCATATGGCTCGACCTCTTCGGAAAACATACCTTCACCGCAGTCGGTCCCATCGGTAGAATGTTCGATGTCCGAGTCGAGTCCTAATGATCCCTCAGCCGAGAGTCCCGACAGCATCGAGGCCGACCCAACGCGGCTCGGCCTAAACACCGTTCTGGCCGACGATAAACCCAGTTTTGTGGCTTCCGAAGCTGGACCTGGACCAATCATGACTACGGAACCACGGAACGCCTCTGTACCCACGAACCTCCAACCGAGCTCCATTCCAGAAACGTCCGGGGCGCCAGGTAATCCCCCACCGCAGGACGGGAAGTTCTTCAGCAATCCTGCGAACCTGCGAACTCTCATGACCGGAAGTGGTGATGGTTATAGGTCACCCGAACCACCGTCCCGGCTCGGCACCATTTCCCCGTTTTATTCCCTGCGCAGAGAACGTCCAACGCTGGATGAAGGAGCAACGAGTTCTCCATACAACCCATTGGGAGCGGCTACGGAGCAACCCGGGCTGTCGTTCTCTGTTCAACAGTCCGGTACAACCCAATCTCTTAACGGTCCCAGTCTGGATATGGGGTACGGGTACGAACCACCGCCTGCCTTATCAAGCTCGTCGGTGTTGCCTGTCGAGTTGATGGTATACAACGACCTGATGACGGATATTGCCACGGCGCAATACCTAGAAGCTGAGTTGCAAGGCGTAGGGCCTCCGTTTTTCGTTCACCCGTCGATGTCAACGAATGAGGCTGGCGGTGTCGATGGCTTCGGCTCGAATACAAGCGGGTATCAGTGGCAAGGTGTCTCACAGAATACGGCGCACGGGCCACCTCAAACGATGCCGCACTATGGCTATCCTCAGCCAGGTCAACCGCAACATGGAGCGCACACCGCGGCGCAGCGAATGGGGACAGACTTTAGGGGACAGTGGCCTACTGGAGGTATCACAGACTACGAGTGAGTGGCCCATGACTTGCCTTTTGTTTGGCTGGTCCAGAAATTTCTTGAACGTCTGATCTGCAGCGCATGGGAGCGAACATTGTATGAAAACTTCATGATGGGTCAACAGGCAAACCATGTGTCCCAATATTGAGTGGTAGCTGATATCCTGTATCTTGTCTCCCGTTTTCTGGACTTTCTGGACCAAGATGGTGTTGTGGGTGGGGTCTGTGTCAGTGGTGTAGATCGTTAGTGACCGTTGTTAATGTATATCTGCAAGATATCTCGAGGAGGTCGCAAAGGAGTGGTGGTACAACTGGGAAAGAGTAAAGGACAGAGTCCGCGCTGAGGGAGACCAAGAAATAATTATGTAACACTTGGAGAAAGGGAAAAGCAGAGTGAAATCCACGACACCTGACGACACGCTATTACACCGTTAAGTAAAGAAAAGTTGAGCCTAGCAAGAAAAAGAACCTCTACACGTCCTACTTCAACAAATATGCGATGATGCCTACAGAAGTACACAAGGCCGAGCCCAAGTGACAAACCGTTCCGAATGTCGCACTCACGTCGACGAAAAGAAGAACGGCGGAGAGCGTTGAGGCGAGGAGGCAAGCCATGGGCGCCATCGCGAAGGTGGCGAAATTGACTTTCAACGAAGGCCCGCTAGATCCGGGACTAGACAACGCAGTGGACTTTGATCGTTGATGGGAGTGCATATACACTAGGGAAGAAATGGCTGTAAGAATGATGCAGAGGAGAAGGCCATAGGCGCTGCTCGTTCCACAGGTCATGCCCAACGTCTGTTGAGACGGTGTCGGGTTGGGGAAGATGGTAGGGAGGACGTTGAGGGATTCGTTAGGTGCGTAGAGGAGGCATCCGGTCACCATATCCCATCCCAGCGCAGAGGCTGCACCTGAAAGCGAAGCTTGGATGAATGCCGCGAGCGTGAGGCCTTTAGGAATTAGCGGGGGTAGTCGCGACCATCGCAAGGTCCGTCTTGGGAACGAGGAAGTTGCTGGCTGGGGGAGGTAGCGGCGGTCTTCAATGAGAATTGAGGCTGGTGGTGAGAGGGGTGATGCTGGACTGTCCGAAGGGTGAGGGTAATATGAACAGTGGGGTGTAGCTGCAGGGGTGACGATTTGAGGGAAAGGTATTATGTTCACCGGTGGGATACCAATCCTCGGCA